AGGTTGCCTACCCCTGGTCTAGATCGACTCAAGGGCAGTTAACAACAAAGCCCCTATGGGCAAATATTATCCATTGACTCTCTATGGGCAAATATGTTTTCCCTATGGGCAAGTACTGTCATTTGTTTTAGTGCGTCCCTTCCCAAACTCTTTTTTTCCTTCCAGATGTTTTCGACTTTAGCTCCCAGAATCTGGCAGCAGGAGCTGTTAGACAGTGGAGCGCACTCCTCCTTGGGAGGTCTTAAAACAGAGGCTGGATGGCCATCTCTCTCGGGGTGCTTTGATTCTGTGTTCCTGCATGGCAGAATAGGGTTGGACTGGATGGCCCGTGGGCTCTCTTCCAACTCTATGGTTCTATGATCCTGTGAATCCCTGACCATTGGCCAAGGTGGTGAAGGCTTCTGGGAGTTGCAGTCCAAAACACCTGGAGGACCAGAGTTTGGGAACCACCGCAAGTCTAAGCGGTTTGCAATCTGTAAGCCAATTGCCCCCAAGAAGCTGGGTACTCTTGTTGGGTGGGCTGTAATGCAGGGGCAAAGCCACCTGTGAGGATTCCTTGCCTGAGAAATTAATAGGGTTGCCCTAAGTCTTGACTTAGGTACATATTTCGCACACACACACACACACAATTACTATAAGTACAGGAGCCCCTCCTGGGCACTTCTGCTTTGGGCTTACCTCTCTGTGCCACCTGTCTCTCCAGTTTTGGTTCACTTCTATCATGGCCTCATCCAGATCAAATTCACCTTTTGTCCAGTGCTTCAGGGTTGTCAGTCCTTGCTTCTCTCTCTCTGTGCCTCCTACCATATAGCCTCCCCTCCCCTATTTCTAACCTCTCTAAAGATCATACCAGAGGATTCTCTTGCCTCTTCAAAATGTTCTCCCTTTTTGGTTCAGGGAATGCCAGCCCATATCCTTCAGGTCAGATCAATATCTATTTGTTGTTGGTGGTGGTGGTCTTCAAGTCATTTCCAACTTATGGTAACCCTAAGGTGACTATGTGTTTGCTTGGCAAGATTTATTATGAGGGAGTTTGCCATTGCTTTCCCCTGAGGCTGAGAGAGTGTGACTTGCCCAAGGTCACCCAGTGGGTTTCATGGCTGAGCTGGGAATCGAACCCTGGTCTTCAGAGTCGTAGTCCCAACACCCAAACCACTGTGCCATGTTGGCTCTCCTACTTATGAGACCACATAAGCATTGTGGGAAGATGACTATTCTAGTACCATTACAAAGTCTTGTAATATTCAGGGTTTAGGGCCCCTCAGTCTCTTATCAGTATCCTTTTTTACATGTGTGTGAAGATGAGTGTACATGAGAATTGGAGCAACCTAGGTTCATCTGGGCCAATCGATACCTCTCAGCCTAGCCTGACCCACCATATTGTTGTAAGGATAAAATGTAGGGAAGGTACATATGCCATCTTGAGCTCCTTGGAGGGAAGGTTGGGTATAAATGTTTAAATAATAGGGGATTGATTATTTGAGAAGGCATTCCACCACCATCCTCAAGATGTTTTGCACTCCGCAGACTCACCACAGCTTTCCAACTCTCCTTTATAGGGATGATGTTCCATTTGAGAAAAGCATGGAAAGTTGTAAAGACAACTCAAATAATGTTTGTGATACTCTCTGGAAAATTCTTATCTTCTGTATTGATTAACTGTGTTCCCTCTCTTGTTATTTTTGTGTTCCCAAACTATAGCCGTATCACTTTGATCCATTTCATAATGTTAAAATATTCTACAATTAAAAGCTAGTTATACAGGCATAATTAGTTGTGATCATTTCCTGGGTGTTAATGGGACACTTCCTGCAGCAGGTGTAGCCAGGTGACAAGTTGTACGTTTTCTCCTGGGTCTGTCATTATATTGTGGCATGCTCTGGTTATTGAATTTTTTAAGTTTTTGTCAGTATCGATCAGGGCTAAGGAACATTTCTAGATACTGCTGGCTGTTGTTTCATCACCCCCCACCATTGACTGGTGTTTATGGCAAATAAGTATTACAGCCCAATGATGTCTGGAGCACCATATATTCCTCATTCTTGGAATAAACTAATAATCAGTTCATGATGGCGGTATCAGCATGATGCATCTGTTTTGTTTCTTTGCTTCCGGTAATGTCTAGATTGGTTCCTCCTCCCCCCACATTTAGCTTGTAAGTGAAAAGGTTAATGCTTCCTGAAAGAAGGACCTGATTTGTCCTTTTTCCTTGTTTTCAAGCTGTTTCCATTCACTCATTTGTTACTTATACTTATTATAAAAACTCTTTTGTCCTTATTCTTCCATCTCACTTCTATCCTAGCCCTGTTCCTCTTTCAGAATGTGGTCTACATCTCATAAATGTTTATGGGGGGAAATTTACAAAATAAATTTATCCCACAATTTATTTGTTCGTGAACCTCTGAACAAAGCCTTTGCAAAGAAGTGAGTCCCTTCTCCCATAGCGATCCATCAAAACTTGTTTCCTTGAATAAGCTGTACACTGAAATTGAGACATCTGAATAGAAACCCAGGATGGACTACAGTTGTAGTGGACATGGACAATCTGAAGCCTGGCCCTGTTAATCAGTGATTAATTTCTAACAGGAGGAAGGTAATGGACACTTTGTGCTTTTTCCTCCTCCTCTTCTAAATGACTGGTTTCTTGATTATAAAGAAGAGCACACCCTGCAATCTCCCTACTAGTTTTCTTGATCAGATTTGATAAACGATAATTCTGGTATTTTCTATCTGTACCAAATCTGAGATAGTTCACATGAAGTTTTCCATTATATCAGGGGTAGGCAACCTTTTTGAGCCGGGGGCTGGGTTGCTGTCCCTCAGACAATTGGGGGGCCAAAGCACCAAAAATAAATAAATAAATAGATAGATTAAAAAAAATGCATGCACATTTTCTCAGCCCCAGAAAAGCCATGGCAAAACCCCTGTGGAGATTTTGCCAAGAAAAGCCCAAGCACAAGTAATAACAACAATAATCAATATCATCATGGCGGCAGCGGCAGGACTGGCCTGAGGCCAGTCCAAAGGCCTCGGGGGGCCACATCTGGGCCTTAGGTTGTCTATCCCTGCATTATATAATACATTATAAGGGAAGGATGCAAATGAATTGCAAATTTAATGAAAGAGCCCTGGTGGATCAGATCAAAAGCCTACCTAGTGTAGCATTCTGCTTCCCACAATAGCTAACCAGGTACCTACAGGAATCCCAGATATATTGATATGAAGACAAGAGCAGATTCCCAAGCACACTCTTCAGCAACTGGTATTTTGGAGGCATACTGTTTTTATCAAGCCGAATTCTCACTGGAAGCCAAGATGATTAAACTTGGCCACATTGTGGAAAGAACAATAATGCTGGGAAAGGTGGAGGGAAGTAGAAAGAGAGGAAGGCTGCATGCTAGATGGATGGACTCTATTAAGGAGGTCACGGGTATTAAGGGGTTGCAGGAATTAAGCAGAGTGGAGGATAGGGAATCTTGGAAACGTCTCATCCACAGGGTTGCCATGAGTCGAGAACAACTCAAGGGCTGTTAACAACAACAACAAACTAATTTCATTATTGGTAGCTATTGATAACCATTGAAGTATTTTGTTGGCTTTTCCTTTTTTTAATACACTGATTTAGAATGTTCACTTATAATATCATTGATCTTTACAACATGCTGACAAGGTGGGTTGGGTGTTGTTATTGCTATCTTGTAGATGGAGGACTAGTGTTGAGAAAAGAATGGTTTGCCTAAGGCTACTTGGCAGGTGGGTGGCAAAGGTGAGATGTGAATTATGGGCTGCTTAGTACACAGCTCAGTCTTCCTGCCACTAACAGTACACCAGCACTTTCATACATTGTTTCAAGGAAAACTAATAGGAGATTTAAAAATAATTTGTTAAAATAAGCATGTTGTGTTGGACAGGGCATAGAACATACATGGTAGAAGGTCCAACAGTCCACTAGACCAGGTTGCTCACCTAAAACAGCCTTGAACTGCATGGGAAATCCTGTTTCATTAGTTTCAAAAAGAGACAATTTTAAAAACAAAAGCAAAGATCTGCCTGAAAATAACACCTGTCCACCTGCCATGTAACTTTCCATCCTCTGGTTTAAGATTTTTCTGTTGAACATTTCATTCAAAATAATTAATCATATTTTAAAATACAAAAAGCTTTCCTATATGTCATATGGTGTTGAAAGATGTGCTTAGAGCTGACTCACATTTACATTAAGTATGTGATAATTGTAATGTGTAAGTTGTAGGTTGCATGTATGATTGAATGATCACAGATAAGGCTTTTTATCATTTCAGCAACAATACAGATTGAGCACATGCAATCATGACTGGGGTTTTACTGTTCTTGGGTTTTTGTTTTGTTCCAGGATTTTTGGTTGCTTTAATTTAAAAAATACATATTCAAGTTTCTAACTACGGTATTTTGTAAGCTTCTATGAATGGTTGAAGGGTGGTTTAAAAATGCAAACCTTCTGTGAGTCAGCATTGTTCACTGCTCTCATACTGTCAAGCAGACTTCCATAGCTATGAGGGCTATAATCTTATTTTAACCCTCTTTTACCATTCATTTTGATAGTATCTCTCTCCTTTAAGAGTCCAGTAGACACACTTGAAATCATATTTTTTATTTCAAAATAAAAATATGGCTGATGTCAAAATTAGTCCAGCTGAACATAAAAATAATTGTTACTGATACTGGTTTAAGGGTTGGACTACGACTGTAGAGATCAGGGTTCAAATCCCAGCTTGGCCATGTAAACCCACTGAGTGACCTTGGACAAGCCACACTGTCTCACCCTCAGAGGATGTCAATGTCAAATCTTTCTGAAGAAACTTGCCAAGAAAACCCCATGATAGGGTCTCCATATGTTGGAAATAATTTGAAGGAGCACAACAACAACAACAACAAAGCCTAAGCCAAACACTAGACTAACAACATCCTAAAATTTTAATTTTTAAATAACAAAATCCCTTTTAGGATTTATTGGACCATACAGGCAGGATTCAGTGCTGAAGTTGCTCTGGTGGAACAGCAAACTTAAAATAGTAAAGAATGGGATGACACCTCCAATATAGGTTGCCAGTGAACCTCCAGAACCACATCTGGAGGGTTGGGAAAACTTCCAGATCCAGTTTTGGGGAACCTAAGGGATAAGGAAAGGGAAAGCAGGTTCCATTCTGCAGATGCTACAGCACTATCTTGATCCACATTTTAAAACAACAACAAAAAACCCATAACTAACATTTTCAAATAACAGTAGAACTCTGGGGTTTTATACATCCTCATGTAACCTCAAAAAATCAAGGACACATCCTGCAGCTTACTATTGTGTGTTCCAGATAAAAGGATGATGATGAACTTTATTTATACCTTGTCTTTTCTCGCAAACAGACTCAGGGCAGCTTACGAATTAAAATGAGTATAATATAGTGAAATCCTGCATATTGTAGTGGTTTGAGCTTGGACTTCAGCTCGAGACCAGGGGGTTTGGATCCCCCCCACTCAGCCATGGAAACTCACTGAAAACCTTGAACCCGTCTCTCCTCCTTCCAACAAATCTTGCCAAGAAAATCCTGTGATAGGTTCGGCTTAGGAAAATTGGAAATGATTTGAAGGCACATATCTACAAGAAAAATAAAAACAACATAATTAAAACGTACAAAGATCAACATTAAATAGACGTAAACTATTAACAATATTAAAACAATTTAAAACATATACTTAAAAAGGATAAAAAGTAATTTTCAAAAACCGTACAGTTTGAAATAACACAGCACCATCTTAAAAGCCCTTTCCTTAAAAACCATCATTTTGCTGCCATGATTTCTTCACCTTCTCCAGAGTAAATACAACCTTTGTCTCTTTCCTTTGCGGGTGACTGAATATCTAATCATCCATGCCTGCTTCCTTAGGGAGCCCTATCAGTCTGTTCTTTAACTGTCGCATTTTTGTTTACTGAGCTAGTTCCCTTAAAAATGTCATCTTTGCAGCTGTTGCTTTTTTCCATTGTAGAGTTGCTGTGATCTACACAATACAATGCAGGCAGAAGATGTCAATATTTGGGACTGCTATCATAAGGCGCTGCTTAGTCATCCTTTTCTGGGCTGTAGGTAGACATCATTGGATCACAAGTGTCTCCATCACCTTTTGCTTGGTTAAAATAC